TCAGGCCTGTGATTCCAGCACTTTGGGAGGCCGAGGCGGGTGGATCATGAGGTCAAGAGATCGAGACCATCCTGGTCAACATGGTGAAACCCCGTCTCTACTAAAAATACAATAATTAGCTGGACATGGTGGTGCATGCCTGTAGTCCCAGCTACTCGGGAGGCAGAGGCAGGAGAATTGCTTGAACCCAGGAGGCGGAGGTTGCAGTGAGCCGAGATCACGCCATTGCACTCCAGCCTGGGTAACAACAGTGAAACTCTGTCTCAAAAAAAAAAAAAAAAAAAAATTAAAAAAAAAAGCAACTCCCTATCTCCAGACATATGAAAAACAGAAATATGCATTGGCGTGCTACCAAGTAGGGCTGTGAAAGTTATTATAATTGTTGTTGTACTTACCAAGTATTTGTTGAACTTTGAAGGAATGATCCTGCCATCTTTTTTGGGTTGAAAATGTTGGAAGGACTTTTTTCTGTAGTCTGGCTATTCTTACAAATAAGTTGATTTCGAGGCATCATCAGTTTGCAAAAGAGGTCCTCGGCTTGCTTTCTCTTCTTCCTCTTTCCCCTTCTCTTCAGCACATTCTGTTGGTTTGGCCAGTGAGCAGACTGAAAAGACTGAAAAGAGAAGAGGCCTGGAAACCAGAGAGGTGATTTCAGCCAAAGCACTGGACGAAGGTGGTTTGGATACGGCCCATGTTGTCACGAGAGCAAACAGGGAAAAGCGAGCAAGCGGGGACACTTGCCAATCTGAGCATCTCTGGTTGGAAATCTCAGAGATACCAGGTCTCTGGTGTTCAGCAGACCTGAAGAGGCTCAGCACGTGGAGCACGTTAATGGCATACCGTTACCTAAGGCTGCTTTTCCTACCCATCAGACAATGAATTCACTTTTAAAAACTTGGAGATAAAATTTTACAAAACTAGGGTAAAATGCTGATAAAAGAGTAAACAATGTGTATCACGGGGTAAATTTTGACTAGACACCCAGCTGGCTGGAGTTGTTAATAGGTGGTTGGCAAGAACTTTCATACAAAAAGATGGGGCGTGAAACGGCTCACCCCTGCAAGGAAACTCTGACTCTGCTGAAGCTCAGAAGTTCTACGGCTGGCATGGAATGAAACAAGGAAAATGCAAATCCCTCTGAGCCTGAAGTTAATAAAGGCACAATGATGATCAGCTTTAGAAACAATTCCCAAATCTCTAGTACTGGAGGATCTCTTCTGCCTTCAGAGAGTTTATTTTATACCAAGTTGTGTTCCTAAGTTTTAGACCTGAAAAAGTGAGTGCTCATTAAAATGTAAGAATGACTCAGCAATAAAGCATTTATTCCTCTCCTTATTAGTTCAGTGTATATCATTTGAGATCTCACCATGTAACCAGCACTGTGCTAGAAAACTGGGCATAGAAGAACATGGTATCTAAGCCCTTGAGGTGCAAACATACCAGTGGTGGAGAGAGGTGAACTGTTTAATCTTGACGTGGGACTACACCAAATACTGCTGTGTAGAACTAGGACCTTCCAATAATTAGATTTTATCCAACAAAGCTTAATAGGGTTGCAGACAAATAAAAAAGGTGGAATATGATACCTAAATAGGATTAATTTTTCTAAAAAACTGAATACATAAATATAAAATACATAAATTCAATAATTTAAGTCTATGAGACAAGTATTATTCTCTGTAGGATAATATATGTTATAGGATCATTTCTATTATAGAGTAATTTATATATATGCTATGTAGGATATATTCACAAGAGATAGATCCACCGTGGATTAATAAGTGTGGTTAGGCATGTGTTGTCTTAGCCACTATTTTTTTAAGGAGCCATAACCCTTCTCACACAATTTCACTACCAAATTGATCCTTGTTGTGATAGACCCCTGGATGGATCACAGGTGTGTCCATATGTGCCTGTTGTACATTACGTTCTTTAGCTAGGGAAGGTCTCCTTGCTGAGGATGCGGCAGGTGGACTACTTGTGGGAAATGCCTGTCACTCTCACTGTTTACTTATTCGTAATGAAACCGGAGGGTGAAAGTTATATCAGGTCTATCCATAAAATGAAAATCTTCCCGGGATATAAACCAGCAGACGTGGATAACCACTCACGATAGTATCATCAGAGGTATCGTAGATGACATCCAAGATTCTTCCCAAATTTAAAATCTGTGATTCTTCTACAACTCAATTCTTTTAGATGGATTTTAGACTTCAATTTATGAATAAATGGCCACTATTCTATATAGAGTTTACTGCTTAAATAAAACAAAACTATTAACACTTTTTTCACGGTGGTTTTGCCTATTATGAAAATGGAACTGCTGTGGCTTGAACATGTCCCCAAAGTTTATGTGTTGCAGATTTAATCCGCAATACAACAATGTTGAGAGCTGAGTCCTTTAAGAGGTGATTAGATTCTTCGAGCTCTGCCTTATGAATGCATTAATGCAGTTATCAAGAGAGTAGACTAATTAATGCAGGAGTGTGTTCCTGATTAAAAAAAAATGAGTTTGGCCCTTTTTTCTCTTGCCTTCTCTTGACCTTGACCTTTCATCTCTTTCACCATATACGACTCAGCACAGAGGCCCCTACCAAGTGCCAGCACCATGCTGTTGGACCTCTCAGCCTCCAGAACAGTGCGCTAAATAAACTGTATTGTCTACAAATTACCTAGCGTGTGGTAGGTTATAGCCGCACACAATGAACTAGGGTAGATAATGAAGTTCATTCTCTGTTTACTCAACGAATAAAATATCGGCAGTGCATCAGTATATTACTGCCGTTTCATGGTCTTCTATTGCTTTATTATGAACTGAGAAGGGACTGTTCTTTGCCCTTGAGCTAGTATTTTGTCCTCCTCATCGGTACATGTTCCTGGGAAGAATGAACCAGGGGGTGGAACAACAAAGACCCTGCCATCTTCAGTGAGCCTCCTGTGCCATTAAAGAGAATCCTAAGATATTCTGGAGGGTGGCCAACATTCCAAAACAAGGCAGTAAGACCTAAGCCTGGCCAGTCTATTTTGTTCTGTTCATTCAGGCTCATGTGGCTTTATCTATCTATCCCCTTGTTATTCTGAACTCCACAACTGCCTGGGCTCTTTCTCTCCACAAACAGTTTCACGTACTGTATTCAGCATCAACGTCGAGTGACTATGCGGAGATACCTCCTATTCCTGCTTCTAACAGATTAACAGCTAATAAACACCATGCAACACTCTCTTCTCTGAACCTCTTCTTAAAATACAGAGTTTGGTTTGCCAACATTGGTATATTTAAAGCCTCCAAGATTCCGGGGAAGACTTTAGAAAGTTAACTGTGCAAGTGAGGAAATTTTCCAACACGAAGAGTCAATCTGTGTATCAGCAGTTGGTCTGAGAAGAACCTCAGGGTATCCTACAGTTGTTGATAAAAGGATATTTGTTCTCATCTAAAATAAAATTTCTTTCTTCTTGTTATGTAAGACTGAAGAGAGCTATGGAAATATGTTACCAAGAAAGAAGCAGAGGCATCAGAAGTTTTATCTCGAAAGGAAAAGTGTATCCATTTCAGGAAGGGATGGATACCACCCACCTTCCAGTGACTTTGCAATGAAAAGACGTGGGCCATCTGCTGTTTCCCGTTTTCCTCCCACCTTTCCTGTAGTTCCCATGCTTCTCCTCCCTCCATTTAGTTACATGAAGCAGCTAGTTTTAAGGAAAAATCAGAATTTAGAAGCCGTGTTCAAAGCTTTACATAAAGCCCCAGCTGATATTTTGTTTTGAGGGTGTGGATGTCAGCAAGAATATGGCTGAGATAACCTTAATAATAGTGTGAAAATGATGCATAGCAGCACCTCACATATGTGTTAGAGACACAGTTAATTGAAGGGTAAAAAAGACAGTGTATACATAGTTCAATTTATAGAATTTCTAATATAAATGAACCAGAAGCCTTAAAGAAATGTACTTGTAAAATATTGGATACTTCCTGAACTCTTGACAGTTTGTGATGGTCTGATTATTAGGTTACCAAAACATAGATACGTGTTTAGAGAAATATATTAGTCCTTTTGTCTGAAGTATAATTTCTGAGACCAAGCCCTTTCTTTATCTTTGGGTAGGTGTGTCTTATTGCAGCAGATACCCAAGTCTATTTCATTGCTTACCTGTCTTTTTATTTCTGTTGCCTTACTCATCTCTATTGATTTAAGAGGCCTTTACAGGCCGGGCGCGGTGGCTCACGCCTGTAATCCCAGCAGTTTGGGAGGCCGAGGTGGGCGGATCACGAGGTCAAGAGATCGAGACCATCCCGGCCAACATGGTGAAACCCCGTCTCTACTAAAAAAATACAAAAATTAGCTGGGTATGGTGGCGTGTGCCTGTAGTCCCAGCTACTTGGAGGCTGAGGCAGGAGAATTTCTTGAACCCGGGAGGTGGAGGTTGCAGTGAGCCGAGATGGCGCCATTGCACTCCAGCCTGGCGCCTGGCAACAGAGCGAGACTCTGTCTCGAAAAAAAAAAAAAAAAAAAAGAAGGCTTTACAACCACTGCAGTTTGACAGTGCCGTTGATTCTGTACATACCCAAGGTGAGGAGCTGACCCTGGGTCAGGCTGTGTCAGCGCACTGTGGCAATGATGTCCACATTGTTCCGTGCTAGATAAACAATCAATGTCACTTTCTGCTCAGTTGTACTCATGAAATTAGTGGCCTTGACCTTGAACACTTACCGTGGTTTTCCCCCCTACAGAGCAGGCCTCCTTTAAAAGAGGGTCAGAATAAAATTCCATCATCGTTCTAGATTCGCTTGCAAATTACCTGAATTAGATTAATTTGTCATTCCTCCTCCAGTCCAGCGTCATTGTACCTTGAGCTTTTCCAGACTAATTTACCCTGATAGTGATCGCTCTCACTACCTATGTTTCTATTACTTGTTTGACAGACTAACTCTGGGTCTTTAAAAAGTCATCGTGTTTCTTGAGATTATCTAGAACTTCCTTTGCTGGCTTTTCTCTCCTCAGAACTGGACTTGAAGCCATCATGGAGACCTACGCGTTCTGGAGACCTCCTGTGCGCACACTCACCTTCGAAGACTTCACCACCATGCAGAAGCAGCAAGGTAAAGCCGTGGAGCAGAGCCTGTGCTTAGCGTCGGGGCCGGGGGCAGAGTGGGAGCTGGACGGGCCTCTGCTTAGTGATGGGGCCGGGGGCAGAGTGGGAGCTGGACCGAATACAGCACATCCTGGCCTCAGGCCAAGATAGGGTCGTACCAGTTCCCCCGGAATGAAGAGACCTCGGGAGCTCTGTAAATACGCAAAGCATCACCACTCGTGCAAACAGGCTGGGTCCAGAGGCAGCATTTCATCTGGCACTCAATGCTCTCTCCCTTCCTAGGACTGCGGTTATATATTTATGATAATCATGATATTAAAATTGCTAAGCATTGACACAGGCCTTGGTATTTGAAGAGATCTTCTTAATTACTTCATTTATTCCTCATGGCAGCCTGATCAGTTTTCTTTTTCTAGCTTGGCGATGAGCAAAAGCTTAGCTCTGGACAATGGGAATGAACTGTATCAGGCCTCCAGGCGAAGAGTGGGCTGTCGCAAGTCTATCTGAACCTTGCTGCTTGTGTTCTTCCTTTTTCGCTTATCTAAAACAACACCGCTTTCAGTTGGTGGGCCAAGTGAGCTTTCCCCCTTACTGCTTTGAACTGCGTGCTTTTAATCCAATTTATAGCTTTTCTTTCCTTGTGGCTCAGGTTGGAAAACCTGTGGCCACATGGGTCATGATTTATTTCAATTCATTTTCTCAGTCTAGCCTGTGGCCTCCCCAGGCACAGCACTCATCTGCCTGGGTGCCTGGGTCGAAGCTCCCCAGAGTCAGATGCTGATGAGTATCCTTCAGCTTCCCGATCGAAGATGATGATTTGGTCAGGATTTACTGACTGTGCTCATTTTCTTCCATCCAACGGCTGCCATTAACGGAAGCCTCACTTTTCAGTTTGTGGTTCTGCCCTTTGGAAAGCAGTTCTAGAACTTGGTAATATATTATATTACATCCCCTTTTCAGGGGAACTTCTAACATTTTGCATACGGAATTAGGTTTGTAACTTAAATTGCTGAAAACTGTCAGGTTTTAAGGTGAGTGTAGTGATCAAAAGCATAGACTCTGGAGTCAGACAAGGTCTAGCCTAGGCTCTCATCACAGATCCTTCGTAGCTTTGTAACCTTGGTCAAGTACCTCAGCTTTTCTGACACCCAGTTTTATCTTACACATTATATGGAAAAATAGAATCACATAGAATTCTTGAATTAAATGAGATAGGGCAATTAAAATTATAGAAGCATTTAATACTACTGGTTTTCGTTGTCTTCCTCATCATCATCTTCACCTTCAAGGCCCTTATGTCCCTGTAGGTAGACACTTAAGAGGAAGATGTCGGGACCAAGGAATGTTGCCTTTCTGATGGTTGATTATTTAAAACATGGTTAGACTATTCCTTCTCACAGGGAGCTGGTGAAGTAAGTGATCCAGAATTTCCATCTTTTATATACTCCTCCTGACAAAGCTGTGATTAGAAGCAGAGTCGACGGTTATTCAGTGTGTCATTGCTGCTTTGAGGCCCTCATGGATTGCCATTAAGGGCAGAGGCTTGGCCGGGCGCAGTGGCTCACACCTATAATCCCAGCACTTGGGGAGGCTGAGGCAGGTGGGTCACTTGAGGTCAGGAATTCCAGACCAGCCTGGCCAATGTGGCGAAACCTTGTCTCTACTAAAAATACAAAAATTAGCCAGGCGTGGTGGCAGGTGCCTATAATCCCAGTTACTTGAGAGGCTGAGGCAGAAGAATCGCTTGAACCCAGGAGGTGGAGGTTGCAGTGAGCTGCGATTGCGCTATCGCACTCCAGCCTGGTCAACAAGAGTCAAACCTTGTCTCAAAAGAAAAGAAAAGAGATAGAGGCTTAAAGGGACTCAGGAAAATCTAGGTCCTCACCTTTCATGGTAATGAATTCTCTAACTTTGGGGACAATTTACTTCTATTCCTGCATGCCAATTTTTTCACCTACAAAAGAGATAATTTTGTGTGTGTGTGTGAGGAAACTTATATAAACATGCTGAGTAGACAAAAATATGTCATTGATTTGATTTAGTTCTGTGGTGGCTTCTTTGCTTATCTGCCCTTGCTTTACTCATTGCCTTTCCAAGCTCTAGCTAAGCAGGAGTTTGTATCATGCCGTCTGGTTGAAGAAGGTTGGCAGGGATATCGCCAGTCCCTGAGGGCAGGCGTGAGTGGGGACAGTTGTGTTCAATGCTGTGTCCCCAAGATCTACCACAGGTCTTGGTACCCAGTATGTACCCATGAACAGTGAATGAGATCACTTGCTGGCACTGTGGCTCAGGGGGGCAGAGCCACTCCCAGCCTTCATCTTAGACCACATGTCTTCTCTTCATTCGATGAGTGATACTGTCCAGAGTCACCGGAACTCTTAGTTCTTAAGGGAAGAGGGAATATAAAAGGGATGGAAATTCTGGATCACTTACTTCACCAGAACCCTGTGAAAAGCAATAGTCTAATCATGTTTTAAATAATTAATCATCAGAAAGGCAGTATTCCTTGATCCTGACATGTCTTCCTCTTTTTTTTTTTTTTTGAGACAGAGTTTCGCTCTTGTTACCCAGGCTGGAGTGCAATGGTGCGATCTCGGCTCACCGCAACCTCCGCCTCCTGGGTTCAGGCAATTCTCCTGCCTCAGCCTCCTGAGTAGCTGGGATTACAGGCACACGCCACCATGCCCAGCTAATTTTTTGGATCTTTAGTAGAGACGGGGTTTCACCATTTTGACCAGGATGGTCTCGATCTCTTGACCTCGTGATCCACCCGCCTCAGCCTCCCAAAGTGCTGGGATTACAGGCTTGAGCCACCGCGCCCGGCCGACACGTCTTCCTCTTAAGTGTCTACCTGCAGGGTCATAAAGGCCTTGAAGGTAAAGATAATGATGATGTGGACATAGAAATGGAGTGATACTGAGGGGGGCCATTGGGCAGGCACAGACACAGGAAGCCTGCATGGGTCACTTAGCTGTGCAGCATAGTAGGTTTCGTGGTACTTACACTAGAAATTTACCAGTAGGAAGGGTTATTATTGACATTTTGTAAACAATGGTTTCAGAGAAACTGAACTTTCAAAACACTTCAGTGACCCTCATTTTTATTGGAAGAGGAGAAAGAACTTGAATTGTTGGATACATATGGCAATGGGATGGGGCTAGAGAAAAAGTCAGGACTCTATTAAATACCTTAATTGGAAAATATTTTAAAATATACAACTGAAGTTGATCCAGATTCTCATTATTAAAAAATATGTGGCTTGGTTTCTTGACACTAACAAAGGATGTAAAAGCAATGACGCCCGTTCCCTCTTCCTTTAAGAATTAAGAGTTTCAGCGACTCTGGATGGTATCACTTATAAAATGAAGAGAAGAGACACAACCGTTTGTGCTGAACTGCCTTGTATCTTAGAAGGAACAGAGAGGGATGAACTAGGGGAACTGCAGTGCTAGCCTGTTTTCTACAGTAATTCCCTTTTAGCGAAGGAACTTCATTAAAAGTGTTGCCGCCAAACCTAAGACTGGTGTCAAATATTGACTGACTTACCCAATTGTCCATATTACCTCATTGTTTCAAGCACATAAATATCTGTCATGTCACATAGCAGTCCTAGACTATTTTCTGCTGCTACTGGTGAGGCTGGATCTGTCCTTCTGCCTAGATGAGGTTAAGGATGATTTTTTTCGTCCTGCCTTGGCTGCTGTCTTTTATTTCTCTTGGCATTAAGACTCATCTGCTGATAAAACTTTGAGGAAAGCGCTTAGGTAAATTAGCCACAGTTCTCGCAAAAATTCAAATCTTTCTATTTTTAAAATCGTATTGAATAGAGTGTTCTAAATATTTGTTTTAGAGAGAAGAACGCGTGGGACTCATCTTCCGCCTTTGACACAAAAAAGTAACTGAGGCATGACAGTCTAGTACAGGGGTGTCCAATGTGTTGGCTTCCTTGGACCACATTGAAAGAAGAAAACTTGTCTTGGGCCACACATGAAGTGCACTAAAACTAATGAGAGCTGAGGAGCTAAAAAGTTCGCAAGAAAAAAAAATCTCATAATGTTTTAAGAAAGCTTACAGATTTGTGCTGAGCTGCATTCAAAGGTATTCTCGGCTGCACGCAGCCCTCGGGCCATGGATTGGACAAGTCTGGTCTAGCTAATGTAGTTAAGGGGTGGCAGAACTGAGTGGAGTGTACCAAAACAGATCTATTTGACACGACAGTTTTCCCTCCACCAGGCCACGTTATTTTTCTTATTCTTTCTTACCACAGCTTTCATTTTCCACAAAGATTTTAGTTTACTCTTCCTATTGAAGGTTTATTGTTCAACAACTTGAGCATTAGCTCTAAATAGGTCAATTTTTTTTTTTTTTTATAAATCAAGTATAAGGTCTTCAGATGTCTTCAGTTAGACTCAAGAATATTTATGTGCTTGGAGAGTCTGGAGAGGCTGGAGGTTCTCGAGATGAATATTCTGTCTCAGGGATGGCTTCTGCCATTGCTAATGACAACCAGGCAAGTGATGCCTGGAGAAAGTGACTGAGGCAACATAAACATAGAAGGAAAAGGAAGTAAGAGTCCAGGTCAGTTAGAGTTACGTGCAGGGCAATCCTGTTGTTCTGCTGTATATCCTTGAGTAAAATTTGTGCCTCGACTTCCTCATGTATATAATGGAGCTGTTTGTGTGGCCAAAACTGACAGTTTTATCAGCAGTGACTTCAAGCTATTTGATAGCTGTTGTTCTAAACGGAATCATTCCGGACCAATGACACCAGAACTGCCAACTCTCCGTCTGTGGACGTGAGGGGACATGCCATTTACAGAAGGCCTCCTTTGCTCAAGAGAGTTGGCAGATGTCACTACAGAGCTCAGTGCCACGGGATGTTTCAGTGTTTTTCAGGCAGTGAAAAAGTTAGAATTATGAGGGTCTCTATTGGTGACTGGATTTTCACCAGTTTGACTTGTATTAGTTGAGGTTGGTTAGTGAGAGGGGTCAGCTACCGATCAAGTCA